CAGCCTCTTGTTGCCATAGCGACAAATAACTAATTTTGAAAAAAAAATGTCAAAATGCACACACACAAACAAATACTATCCAAAAACGACACGTCTAGCTAGCTGCCTGTTAACCGTTTATACACTAGCGGTGTGTTTCTCGTGGGTTCTATAACGATCGATAAGACTCTCACGTCACGACTGGTCAACATTTTAAGCATAACAAAATGTGATCCGATTTCAATGAAAATGATTCACTTATATAAAAGTACATATGACGTTTTGTGAAAAATCTGTACGTGGTGGAAAAAAATTGATATTTTCGGGTTCAGAGTACAGGAATTACTGAAGAACATGTAACAAATTCAAAACAACAAAACCATCCCAGGCCTTATCAATGTGATCATTTATTTTTATTTTTATGGCTGAGTTTGGCCTAATGACTAGTATCTTCGATATGCTATTTCAACACCCTTTGCAATTTTGTCCCTAGATTTGTGTAAAAGGAGCAAACAGGAGCTGTTATCTTCAAGTAGAGGAGTTCCTGTGGGAATCAATGCAACAAAATTGCCGTTTGGAGACTCTAAATTTTCATTCATAAAAAAAATTCCAAAAACACACACACATATATATATATATATACCATATATTGTTATTATATATATATATATTTACTCAATAACAATACCCTTCGTGTGTAAATTTTCTTGGATGGGTTTCTTGGTTTTAAAGAACAATCTGAGGTACCGAACCTATCAAGGGCAAAATAAATAAGGCAACACATGAGGAATATGCTAAAATGCAAAACATGAATGTCAATGAATTCATTTGTGTCTCTCATTCCTTCCTCTCGTTGTCCCATGTACACAGAGTCTTCCACAATGGCTTCTTACATATTTTCACGCTTCTGTAGCTCAAATTCTGGGGCTTAATGTTCCCAATTTCTTCAAGATCTTTGTATATGTTTTTATAACTCTTGGCCTGGACTCTTCATGTGCAAGTCATATGATTAAAAAAAAAACCTAGTGTATAAGACATATCCGAAAATTTCAGGTTTGTTGAAAGTTACCCCCCCCCCCCGGCAAAAATATACCCTTACACCATTAGTGTGTTTTAAAAAAATGTGAATAAGCATTGGCATATTGTTTTAATTCTGTTGGTACAGTTATGATATACAAATATATCATATGTTTTCTACCTGCTTTAGTGATATAGAAATTTTTAATTTTTCGTTTAGTAATTCCTATGCAATTTTATCATAAACACATAGTTTAGAAAGTCACTGAGATAACCTTGTTGCAGTTGCTTTGTTCACTATAGTATATAGTGTCTGTTCTACAATAGGGGATATTTTAGTAACATATAACATTCAGGTTGAAATTATTAGCACTGTAATATCCTTTGCTGGCCGAGTTGACTAATGCTGTCAGAAAATAAAGGACACGAAATAATGCTATCAACTGGACAAAGAAATCGAATATGCCTTATGAATTCAGGAGCGCTTTCTTGATTCGATTCTACATTGTTTTCATTGTGATTAGTTTGTCAAAGATTCATCTTAAAGGAGGATTGTTTGTAATTAAGCACAAAGCTACACAATGGGCTATCTGTGCTCTGCCCACCACGGGTATCGAAACCCGGATTCTAGCGTTGTAAGTCCGCAGACATACCGCTGTGCCACTGGGGCCTTAAGGGAGGAAAGCTGTCGAGCTAGTTAGTATCCAGTCAAAGCGATCGCCCATTTGTCTATGTAAACACGGCTTTTATTATTATTATGTCTAAATAAATATTGTTTTCACTGCACATTAAAAATGTTAAATCTATTTATTTCTCATGCAACTTGAGATTCGGTCAAGTTATCAAACGCAGATTACTATTCTTATTTCCTGATCGCATATGTAATTATTAGCGTGTCTAATTATTTAATATTTGTGTGTTGTATAGAAATAATTTCACCTAAAAATACCACACTGTCAGAATTTATCATTAGACTTACTATAGACCATTTAGAAGAAAGTTTGAAAATTGCCACTTAATGTAAGAAACAAGATTAAATTATATACAATAAATCCATCCTATTATCTCAAACTTAAATAACGCAATGAAAATAAACATAATATTTTAAAATATTTTCAGCATGCAGATTTTATCACGTGCATAGTTATTTTCAAGTAAGTGGGTTGTCCTAGTTATCTACAAATAGAGGAAAACAAGAACTCCAAACGTGTGGTAACGTTTCGTACTACTACTTGTAGCAGTGAAGTCGAAGTAATACAATAGGAATGTGAATTATTTAATATTACATTACTTGACGAATATATCAAGTCATAAATCCAATTAATTGAGATTTATAATATTCTTCTGTATTTTTAAAGAGGAGGTATAATTTTAGAGTGTAGTAATGATGGGCTATCATAGTAGTACTCGTAATACTAGTGTAGGCCTACTGCTGTTGAACTGTGCCCTCATTGATTTTGGGCTTCAATGGATCGTGTGTATCTGTTCGATACTTTTGAAAACTGAAAAATTTTATGACCTAACTGGTAAGAAATGAGAAATATGGTAATTACTCTGGAGTCAGGTGTGTTTGTAGTAAATTGTACAGTATGAAGACTGCGATAACGAGCGTAATTAGCATTACTAAGTTGTGCCGCATTGGAAAGACAACCTAAAAAATTTAATGCGACAGATTACTATAGGCCTTTAGTTTAAAACACCAGAAAAACAGTTCAATAATTTACACAGCTTACGAGACGGTGGTGTTATAAAAAGAATCGCGCCTGAAGTTAGTTTTTTCTTACATTTACAGTGTGTCTAAATCATGTAAATTGTAAATGTAGTTAGTAATAGTATAAAAGAAAAAATGAATGCGATTTTCCTTTTCGGTACCATTGACGCAATAGCACCTAGACTACCAAGTAAATTGTGAGCTAGATCGTATTTTCATCATTTTGAAAGAGCTACCAGTACTCATCCATTGAGCATGAAACCTATTTTTGCATTCGTAAAAACCACGTTTTTGTCTAATTAACAGCTTTCTCTAATGCATTGTAGTTGTTTGATTGGCTGTATCCAGACCAAATTGAGCATCACATTGGCTCAGGAAATGCACAAGATTTCACTGTTTTGTTTCATTTGATAAAAAAAATTTAATAGGGTACCATGTGTTCAGACCATCCTAGAAGGCAAGTGGTTTTTGGTGCTCACAGCACTTTACCAACCACTGAAATTTTACTTTTCAGTAGTCTCATTTGAACAGATTGCTAAAACATAGCACAAGTTGGTAGTCCTCTACTAATGCATCTAACATGTTATAAGTTTGTAACTTATAACAATGTACTTAAAATTTACTGTTTTGTATTCAACAGTTTTACACTGACTGTAAAACTGTATGCCAGACCTTCATGGTGTCAGTTGACATTATGTAATCAGTAAAAACTGGTTTGTTAGATTTACAAACTATTAAAAGTGTATCTTCAGAATACTGATATTAAATCCACATTCTCTACAATATGTATGTCTGAGTAAATTTGATTTCTTTCACATTTTAATTTTTCAGGTTCTACAACCTTTATATTATTAGCCTATCTCTGTTACCAATGGGGCAGTACATACAGCTTACGTCAGAAAGTTCAAACTGCAATGGTAATGACATGGGGGTTAAGGTATGTTTCAAGAACTATATTTGTACATGTAGATGTATCTTGGGCATCTTGCATATACTGTTTTTAAAAATTAGAGATCTGGAAGGTGGAATTGTCCAGTACCATAACACAGATCATACTCCCACAAATATTCCTAGAAGAATAAAGCAGAGGTCTTGTAATCCAAGTTATTAATGGTGGATGAAACTTACTGGTGATGGTATCTATAGCCACACTTAGAATCTGATGAGAATGTATAAAACAATATACGTGCAAGTTGTTGTTTTGGATTTAGAATCCATTGCTTGAGTGAGAGTACCATACTTTAACTGTTTCTTTCTTTGTTATAGATTTGCACCAGTCATAAAATTTCCATTGTCAGTAATTCTTTTAGTGTTCTGTCAGTCCTAAAAGTCTCCAGTGAAAGCTGATGTATATCTGATGTCTTTAAAAATTTTCAGATATTGTTTCACAATTGCATATTTTGAGTAAATTTATTTCTAGTATGTTTATTATAAGCCAAATTAAAGCTGAAATATGTGCCATTTTGTATTCATCCTTATTTTGGGAGTTGGAAACATTCTGTCATATTTACTGAAAACAAAAATTTTCAAGAGACAATTCTGTTTCATAGTAACTTTGTTAAATTTGATATTAAAATTTTGGTCTCATTATAAGATACATGTTTTCACATTTTATGCTGTACTCTTAATGTTTAACCAGATGCACCTGCTTTAACACAACTATCAAAAATCAGATTGCTCTCATACTAAAAATTTTGAGTCTGTATATAAACTGTTCTGTTGTAGTTATTTGTTATTTATCTTGCTTTTTTTTAATGTTATTAAAGTATTAAGATTTTCTAATTCACTTTTAGATTGGGGCTGTATCTTTTTACCCGAATTATGAAAGAAGGTAAAGATCGACGTTTTGACAAAGCTCGAGAGAAACCAGCTCTTATGTTCCTTTTCTGGACAATGCAAGGTTAATTTCTAATATTATTTTACTTATCCATTAAATATCACTGAGATATTAAATTGATATGGAGTGATGCATAATTTCCTGTTATTCTAGAAATTCTTGTCTGGATAGTAGACATTAACTGTGACAAACACAACTAGAAACACTGAGATATTAGCTGTATATTACAATTACAGGTAAAAATAGTGATAAATATAGATTGTAGGCATTAACAGTGTAATTCAGTGTAAACTGATTTTGTATGAGAGTAACTTGTTGGCACCATCGCCTCTACGTTTTACCAAGAAATATATAATGTACATACCTGTAAAGTTTGTTTGAATTACTTAATGCTTAGTATGGGTTACATTTGGATAAACAAAGCATGGCTACTTGTCTATATTATGTGCAGGCTTACATAATATCAAGCTAATTTTTCTTATGCAAGTGCTAAATAAAACCGAGAATACATATAGCTATTTCAGTTTTGGTTATATGTATATGTACAAAAAAAATAAAGTTAGCTACAAATATTATTTTAAATATAGATTACATTAAAAAGAAGGATAGCATGAATTATACACAGCACATCCAAACCTTAGATGAATTATAATTAAATTTTGTAGAGAAGGAAAAGAAAAAATAAGTAAATAAATAAAAATATACTTGGAAAAAATAAAAATGCAGCCACAAAACAAACAATCAACTCTGGGGCACAAATCATATGGTGATTATGTAATGTGCCTTGGTTTTTTTGAGGTAACGGTGGAAGTAAGACTCAGATTGCATTTAACCTCAATTTCACTGGCATCACATGCTTAGGAAAATAGAGAAAAAGAGCAAATGTGGGTGTTTAAGACCCCAATGTCCCACATCTTTATCACGTGTCTGCAGCCAGAAGTGGAAAGGTGGTTGGTTGCTCATGATTACTGTTCTGTATAAGATATTTTAAGATTACATGTGAATCTTTTATTTCATTTATTTGGATTATGAGGAAAATAAAAGGGTTTTCTTTCAAATATAAACTAGTAGTTCTGGAAATGTCATCAGCAAATTAAAAAAATTAGTATTGTCAAAGGTTTGAACCTTGAAAGGTCAAAATACACCCTTCATTATAGTCATGTTAAGTTTAGATGTTTGAGAAACACTCGCATTTAAGAAATACACATACATATTGGTCACCTGTGGTTGCATCATATATTTATAATTGTTGAATTGTGATTATTGTTTTTCAGGAGTTTGGGTTTTCATTACACTTCTTCCAACATTTATACTGAATTTTAGTGAAAAAGACCGCCCAATAAGTAATCGAGACTACGTTGGTTGGAGTCTCTGGATTTTAGGATTTTTTACAGAAGTGCTTGCTGATTACCAAAAAGCTCAGTTTCGGAATAACCCAAGTAACAAGGTAACTTGAAATTTAGGTTATATTAATAGCAAGAAGCTTTCTTTTTTCTCTTTGTAAGTGACAGTTATGAAAAATTCCATCATTGAACTATTTTCAGAAATCTTCTTTTTAGAATACGAAACAAAGTAAAAATGGAAAATACTAGAAACAAATTTATATATACTTTTAAGAGAAAAAAGGCAGACAAACATGCATTCTGAAACACTTTAATTTGTCAAACTTAAATGAATTATAGAGTACGACATACAATCAAAAAGGGTCACACTGTACTTAATTTTAAAAAAATTGAAGAAATTAGAAATTCCTTCTATGATCCTTTTGTGCAGAAGATATTTTTGCTTACCTGACACTTGTAATAGTGTATTATTAGGAAATATTGCTTTACTTACATAATTTAGAAGTAAATTATGTAACTCATGACCTGCTAACTACACATCAGTGAAATAGTCTCCACAAGATTACTAAATATGAAATGAGGAAGATGTTGTTGTTGTTTATTTTTGTTTTTAAATTTCTTTTACTAGTCAGGTAAAGTTTAAAAAGTATACAAAGTCTCAAGAATCAGAGATAAGAAAGGTTTCCTTCCTAGTAGTGATGTGTGGTTAGTTAGACTAGCTTTTGTTAATTCTAAAATATTTGCTCTTGTAATCAATTGGACTATATATATAACAAAAATAGTGGAAATAATGCAGAGCTTCAAAAGTTTATTTATACAATCCAATAATTTTTATCATTATACAAAATCAAAAAGGTGTTTTACTACAAAGATGATCCATTATGTGAGTGTGTGTGTGTGTTAGCATCCATCACCCATAGTTGGCTGGCTCCGTTACTGTAATTTTGTGTATGGTAATTGGAAACCATCCGAGGGTGTATATAGGCTATCTTATTTAGGATTTATGCTTAATTAGGGAATAGAAAAGCCCCTGAAAGAAGGCATATTTATATTATAAACTTTTGGTTTGCATCATTTAAAGTTGGCTACTTCGAATACCTTAATTTTTTTTGCTTCGTAAACTGGAAACTGTAACAGTGTACATAATCTATCTTGTTTTAGGTTTTTTGCCCAGAAAGAGGGATGAAAAATACCTTGAAATGGGGTACACTTTTACTTTTCTGTAGACTTTTTGGCTTTGAATTTAACGACAAGTAGATAATCAGTTAAATGAGTCAATTTTTACCTTTCACGAAGCAAGGTATGCAATCAGCATCTAATGAAGTCATTAGAAAGAAAAGAAAGAAGAACATTACATAACACTGTCCTTTATACAGTTTTTACTTTCTTAATGGGTACCCTTAGCTGTTATTCTTAAAATATATATTTTTCTGAAATTGATATGACATTCCAGTATCATTTTATATAAACAAAAATAAAGTAAACATGGAGAAATAATGTACCCTAATCTGAAACTTGCTACCGCTATTGGTAATGTTTAATGCCTTCTAGAAAATCAATCAATCTATTCTTGTCTATTCCCATTTCATTCTACATAACATATGTTACCAAACCATTTTTTTATCAATTAACTCAGCTTGTATATTTTTATAGGTATGGGTGATAATTAAAAAAAAATATTGATGTGGTTCATGAAACTCCAATTACATGCACTTACTAAAGATTTTACCATGCAGTTTAAAAGTGGAGAAATATTAATTTTATCTGAGGCACTTATTAAACTTCTCAGAGTGGTTGTAGCTTTTACATATTAAAAAAACAACAACTTAATTCTGTAAAGAACATTTGAATTTTTAGGTATTAGAAATGTCTAAAGTTATGTTTTTTTGACATAAGTTTCAGAATTGATCATGAATGTAAATCACTTAAATTAATGATCAGTCTGTCTTGGTGGTATGAGTGGCTTGATATTATTTCCTAGCTATGTATACTTTAACTAATGGATGTAGTGAAAGATGTGTATAAGCAATAAGGAAAAATGATAAACTGTATGAAATTAATGTATCTTTCACACATTGTAGGGTAGGTTCATTAATATAGGATTGTGGAGATTTTCACGTCACCCAAATTATCTTGGAGAGATCATGTTATGGTTTGGCTTGTATATCTCTGCCAGTTCTGTGATGAAAGGTTACCAGTTCCTGACAGTCTTGTGCCCTATATTTGACATGTTCTTGATAACACGAGTTAGTGGAATCCCACTTCTGGAGCAATATGGAATGAAAATATGGGGTCATGATCCATCTTATCAAGATTATGTTCGTCATACAGCTATCTTAATACCATTTATATGGTGATGTGATGATGCATTAAGATGACATTGCAGGAAACGGCAGTGCTTGCAATTTGTTTTGGTGTATTGTACATCAGTGGTTCCTAACTGCCAGTCCAAAGGAAGTGAATTGTTTTACAATGCAATACGAAACTACTTTAACTAGTTAATATTGTATGGTACGTGAAAGTTTGGTGTCAGGACTAGCTGGTCCTCTGTTGGAATAAAGGTTGGGAACCACTGCTGTATGTCATACTTGTTCATTTATGGTTATAAAAATTGTTTCTTCAATTCTGATTAAATGCTAGTATTGCATTAGTTGTAAAAATTTACCAAAAAATTATATTTTTTAATCATATAATTGAATTTTTAATTAAAAATATTGTAATGCTCCTGGATTATTAACTTGTGTAATTTGATACTGAATTAATTAAATGATGTAATGCTCAGACTAGTTTCAGATGTTTGACATAGTCTATAGTTTTTGTTAAAAATGTTGTAGTTACAGGTGTTTATAACTAGCAGTATGTTGTTGTGCATTTTATCAACAGCATATTATAAAGAAGTAAATTTTTTTGTACAAACCATTCATATGTGTGTGTGTGTATATATATATATATATATATATATATATATA